GAATATTTCTGCATCATGGTTTCATTTCATGAAAGAATAATACCATCCCTTTGCATCAGAAAATTACATGATCTGAGAAGTTCAGGGTATCTATTAGCTACCTACTTCATTCACTGTTACTGCACAGAAATCACTGCTAGTACTTTTTCTACTGCTCTGTTCTTCATAGTTGTTAATGTTTCTTAATATGCAGTAATAGCACACATTTTCCCAATGCCTTCAGAACTTCAGCTGCTGCCAATATATCTCTTGTGTCAAGGGTGATTTTATTTTTCAGTTTTTGTTGGATTTCTGTGTGTGTGATCTATGTTTCATGCTTTCATTGTATTAATTTAATATATTCTCAAGAAAAATACAAAAAAAGGAAAAATTCCATTTTTGTCATGCACGCAAGAGCAGGACATTAGCACTTAGAATAAACAATAGTATAATGGTATGAGAAAATTTGTATAATTAAGTTTCTGTATCATAAAGTAGTTTAAATAAAGCTATCTCACTACATCCATAGGGAAAGGCTATAAAAGGTGAAAAACTCCATGGCAGTCAGTACATATTTTCTTGAAACTGTCTAAGAATTGCTTCCTCCCCAGACCAGTAGGCAAGACCCACATGGTCTGTACCTCTGCTGCCAGCTGGAGGGGAAAAACTGCTTTTCTGAGTGTTTCCAGCTTCATGCTGCCACTGCTCTAGTGTCTGAGATTCCCCCTCACGGGAGAAAGCTTAATCAGGAAGGGCTTTGGCCTGTATTAATTCTCCAGATGATTTTCTATGTCTCACTTTCTTTTACTAGAAAATACATATCTCACTGTCAGATGCATGGATCCCCTATACTGTCCCAACCACTGTTTCTGATTCTCAAAGTGGGGCTAGGCAACTGTGCCAGGACATGGGGTTGGTTAAAGCTTTCTTCTTGCGGTGGCCTGATGAAAAGCAGGGATATATTTTTTTTTCTGGCAGTAGGCTCATAGTTTGGCTTTAATACCTTTTGTTTGAGACTGAACCAAAGTCCTGGGGAAGATTTACATGTTTCTCAGACCAACGACATGCCTCCAGGTCTGGAACATGTGAACTGAAAGAAAAGGGTGTTGATTATTTGACAGGTTTTCAGTTCTTGAGAAGTCACCAAAAAGGTAACCTGGATCTTACCTCTTCATTAATTAGAAAAATCCCCTGTACATATGTTGTTCTTAATTATTGCACAGACAAAATTAACGTGTAGCTGGTAGGCAAAGGCTAGCGTAAGGACTATGCAATCATTCATTTAAGTCACTGCCATTGGGATGATTCATTATGGTGACTATTTCTCAAGTAGGTATTGCACTAGTGAAGGAGTTCTGAACTACTTCATTATTCTGTGACTTCTGAGCCAAGGAGAGGAGTTTTGCAAGAAGTGAAATGTATCCAGGTAGGGACAAGATTTATTAAATTTCTCTTGACTTTCAAAAGATGTCTGCTTTTAAAATTGTTCTCGCTTACCATTGGAGCCTCCTCTCTATGCCCTCCTTAGTTTTCAGTGAGAAACATCTCCATCAGTAATAGACTGAGCCAGCCCTTTGGGTAACAGATTTTTATGGCTCTTTGCTGCTTCAGACTTACCCAGAAGCTTAAGTTATTATATTACCTCTTCTGTATTGGTTTCAGTTTTCGAAGTTCCTTCCTATGTTCTGAGTGACTCTCATATGAACTCATAGGGGAGGAAGAATCAAGGTCCATTCTATCCTTGCCTCTTTTGTGCTTTCTTCACCTAATGCCCCTCTAAAATAACTTGAAAATACATTTTAAAAGTGAATTTGAGGTCTGAGAAAGGAAGCAATTTATGCATGCCACAGTCAGTAAAGAAAAGCTTGGAATCAGTATTTCCAGGAAAAGGAACTGAAACAGCTACTGGGTCTTTCATGACCCATTTTTCCCTTAAAGAACCTGGTTACAGTTTGAGAAAGAAGCTCATCACTGGCAGGAGCCAAATATATCACACTGTTTCCACTGTAGTGCTGCCAAGTTGGCTTGGGCTAATAGCATTTTAGGATGTTTTCCGTATCATCAGAAGACACTGAGGATCACAAGGGACAGCACCTTAGGTCCTAACAGTTCACAGAGCTGGGAATACTACAGCTTGGAGTCTTTAGTGGATAAGGAAGGAGCTACACAGCAGTTTGGAATGAGTCTTCCAAGCTCTTTGGATGAGAAATCAGGTATTAATGCATGTCTAGGAGATGTTTTTTGGGGGGGGTTGAAGACTGCTTGGTGTGAGTGTTTGGAGTATGAATCAAGACATACGTTGGAAAGCCTTCAAGACCACCACATCTGCAGTAAAAGTCTGTGATGGGAGGTGGGCAAAAAAATGCTACACCGTGTCTGCAATATTTGGCCATACTTTCCATTAATGTCAGGTGGTTTGAAGTTTTCCCATTGCATTTTCTCCTTGCTTCACAACTTGTTTGAGCTTAAGAGAACTTTGTATAGCTGTCCTGGCATTGATGGTACTGTGCACCAGTGAGGAGAGGAACTGGAAGACCTTTTTAGGAAGTTCAAGTGGAATTGTTCTAACATTAACCTTCGGAAAGTTTGATGTCTAATTTAAGTGAGTTGTTTAGATCCTCTGCAGTTAAAGAAGAGACATCAGTACCTCCAAAGGATATGGCACATCCTTGCCTAACATAAGCATTTAAGGTACATGGGATGAGTCCATGCATGTGCACATACCTCTCCATTGAGATGAGGGAAAATCAATTAATCTTCCTTAGTCCAGATGCCTACCTTTACTTGGATAAGTTATTTTCAACAAATACTTGTAATTAACTTTAAACAAGAAAAGAATTATTGCTATGAAACTGTGTCTTCCTTTTCTTTTAGTGCCTTGGAGATAAGACACTAAAAGAAAAACTGAAACAACTGAAGTATCTTGTTATTTCCTCCTTTAAAGGTGAGGTAAGTACTCCTGCCATTTAACTTTGATCTATTATGTGGCTTTTGGAAAATGGGGTGGTTCAAAATAGCAGTTACAATAAGAGTACCTGAGACAAAGACAGTGAACATACAATTCAGGAAAAAAAATGTCAGTTCTATACTATTATTTTTAAAATTTATGTGTTATATCTTCAAGTTCTTTATAGGCAGCACTTGAAGACAGGCCGTGTTCACTCTCGGGTAGGCTCTAATGCAATAGAAGTGAAGTAATTGTTGAGGCTGGTCTGGGTGGATGGCTTATGTTCTGCTTCCTCTGTATTATGTAATATGATGCACAGGAGGTTGTCATTTCTATAGGAAATCGAAGTACCTTACACAAATACAAAATTTCATTCCCTATAAAAGAATACCTCCTAGTATCTCTACTACATGTGGAGGGGTAGAAGTATCATCCAGCTGGTGGCATATTGCATATTTTCTTCGCTAGATGATTCATCTTTGTCATTCTTCTCCAATGCCCATGAGTGAATGTGAGTCAGAAAGAGCTTATATGGGGACAGGAGCCACATGTTCCTGTTTTTTGTGGGGCTCTTGAATGCTTTAAATCTTGCACTACTCAGTAAGATACAACCCCTTTTGTGGGACCTAATAACTGGAGAAGCCATATGACCACTGAGTGATAGCAACAGGACTTTGTATAGGGAGTGTAGAAGCCACATAAGATGGTGCTAGTAGAATAAGCCAGATAAATCCTTTATTTCAAAATAGGAAGAGTACCCAAAAGATTATAGAGAATCATGTTTTGAGTGCTGAGAACATTAACCTCAACTTCTGCCCTAGGGCTTAGCATTTACTTAACAACCAAAGATTGTTTTTTTTAAGGTTACTGTCCTCTGAAAAATTCAGAGTGTACAAAAGTACAGACAGGAGTTTCCTGGAGTTTTCTAATTCACTTGTTAACCTCAGCTAACATCTGCTGGCATCTCCATGTCTGACAAGAGATCAGTGTCAAAATTAGTTTTTTCATGTTTCATAATAGGCAGGTAAAGAATAACTCTGCGAATGCCATGACTGTAGAAACATGGGAATATAAAATCATGCTACAAAAGCTTAACTTTCAAGTAGGGCAATATCAAAACCGGAATATTAAACTATTAGTCAAAATGTATAGTGAATACTAAACATATAAACTATTCAGTGCTATACCCTGAAAGTCTGGACCTAGAAATCTTTTTAGGAATATTTTCTCTCTTATAATTAAATAAGCCAAATATCAACCACATCCTCTTGCTGCTGTCAGAAGAATCTTTTAAAACAATCTTATTAATTTAATTCACAGGCAATGAGGAGGTATTTAAAAGTTATTTGTGAGAAAGCTTGCCAAACTGGTTATTGTTGATTATTAGTAGACCCTGTGCTTGGGAGATACTTTGGCCTACACAAATGTCAGTGAAAAAAATAACATTTTTAGATACATTAAGACAACAAAGCTTCTGGGATGATCTTCATTGAACTTGCAGTAAAACAGGAAGAGCTTTAGCGCTTTCTGAGGAAATGTAATGCAACCTGTGAAAAAAAAAATCCCTTCAAAAAATATTCTGACATTTCCTGATTTTTATTACTTGAAATTACACTCTAACAATGATTGAGCTGCAAAGGTGTTTAGTTTGTGTTTTGACAGAGAGTGACAGCAGTAGTAAGGCTTTATTTATACAGCAGATCATGCTATATAGCAAAGAATATTTGTAAACATTCTGTATCTTAGAGAAGCTGTCAGGAACTGGTTAGTCATAACTTGCAAATACGAGCAATTTTAAATCAAATGGCTATTAGAGAAGAAGTGACTGGGAACCAAATAAGTTACCCTTTTGTCTCCTTGACCTTTGACTCACTTGGATCAAAATTTGACAAAGATTGCAGCTGCTAAGTATATTACCACGAGATGTAGGTAGTGGCTTTTAGTCAGACTGTAAAAATAACACACTCCCCCCACCCCCAACACCAATACAACTTAACTTCTTCTGGCAGAAAGATAAAGAAGGAAATGACATCTCTTGGAATATATAAACACTCCCTCGGAGTATAGAGGCTATGTGCTTGGTGTGGAGATTTAGCTGTTTGTCTACTCGTAACTTGATGCAAGTCATGTGTTAAATACTTATATGCTCAGCTGAAAAGTCAGTTGCCCTTCTTCAAGGTGAGTCATATAATACAATGTTTAAATTAGAGAGTTTTCCTCAGAAATACTTTTTAAATCAGTTGGTGGAAAACTCTTGAAAATATGTGTTTGTAATTACCAAAAAAAAAAAGAAAAGTGCAGGATTTTGTAAAGCTGTTTGCAAGGAACAGTGAAATCTTACATGTATTAGTGAAATGCTTCATTGCTGTCAGCAGTGGTATTTTATATTCAGTATTGCTGGCTTTCCCACCTGCATTCTGGTTTTTGCTATTTAATATTCTTGAACCTACAATTCTGGAGTCATGTGAATTTGTAAGAAATACATCCTTTTAAAATGATATTTGTAACATTTACTATTGCAGATAAAAGGTCAAAACTTTGATTTCAACATAGGTCAAGTTTGGTTTGGTTTTGGTGATTTTTATGCTTTTAAAAGCAGAAATAACATCTCCCCTGCAAATTTGTGTCTCAGTAATTTCAGGATTTTTAATCCCACCATTTGACCTTAGAGAAACTGGAATTATGTTTAAATAAACACCGTGGTTTTGGGTTGAAACTCTTAATAGGAATTTTTAAATCCTATTTTATTTATCACTAAACACACTACTTCTTCCCCATATAGTTTGTCTCTTTTGGGACAATAAATCTGATTCTCTGTAAGACTGAAGTAAAGCCATGTCAAGCAGTGTTTAAAAATTACTATTAGAGATGGAGAAATCATTAAGAAAATAAAGATAATGGTATTTTATTTTTATAAATGCTTGTTTTAAACTGACATGTACAGAAGTGTAAGTTATGTAGGAAAGAAAAAGTTTAATACGTTTTGCATTTTTCCTCCTATTCAGTTGTTTATAAATTGTCTTTTCAGAGATTTGAATGAACCATTTCTATTGTCAATATTCTCTTAGGGACATTTAAACTGATATTAAAAGTACATACCAAACCCTTTAGAATGGGCTGAATATTCATATTAATCCTGTAGTCATATCTAAGTTTAAATGATACTATAGTCTCATAGACAATATCTAATTTTAGTATGGAATGTTCTGTTCTGCTTAAGGTAAATAATGTTCACTTGAATTCCCAGACACCACTGCATTCGTATTGGAAATTTCTACTTTCATCTTCATATTTTACTGTCAGTTGTAATAGATGAGAATAGCTTGTTGACTTCTATGTGAAATTGAGTGTTATGTTGTGAGTGCTGTCCACTGAAGTTGTGTAATGGATAACTTGAATTGCATAAATTGAGATATGTCTAGACTGCTATTGCATTGTGTTTGGTGGGAGAAAGGTGAATATTTTACAGTTTACAAAAGGTTGGACTAGACACAATTATTATCAGCCAGTTGCTTTCTAGCTGTTTATTGCTGTTGCTCATGAGAGATATCTAGTCTGCCTAACACAAAAGAAATCCACTGGAACTGCTTGTAGAAACTTAGATGGAGATGTATTTTGGTGGAAGGTGTATTTCTGTTGAATTTGAAAAGCTTCAGTTTTTAAGCCAAGGGGGGGAAAAATTAAATTAAAAGTCCTCTTTAAACATTATGGAAGACATAATTTCCATTTTTAATTTTCAAATGTGTATTTCCACACTTACAAAAAAAAAAATCTGCTAGAATAGATAACATTGCGGAAAAAATCAACTTGAAATATGTAATTTTCAGAATTCAACTCCATTGAGAACTTCTGCTTCTCCTTAGATTTCTTACAATGTGTAACAGCAGTCAGATTTTTAAATCTCCACACCACTTATCCAGTGAGAACTCAAAAGTGTTTCAGGTCTAACGAATTTCTCACTTGAATTTGCTTTGAAGTCTGCCACTGGCTACACTACACATCCATCCACTATATCAAAGAAGCTTTAGTAAATTGGTGTTCTATTGCTGTTCTACATAAAAGCACATGGTAACAGCTGGTAGAAAGCAAAGTAACTCAGTGAACCTGTGATTCCATTAAGGTGTGCCTCCAGGTGGATGGGCTGGTTGACTTTTATAGGAAGGGTATTTTTCTGAGCTTGCAAGTAAGTAGTCTTTTGGTCATTTTGCTTGCAAGTATCCAAGGAGAAATGATTAAAATACCAAACTAGCTCAAATGTACAGAAATAGTCATTGTTAATGGCCAGGGAGCCATAAACTGCTGCTAGTGCAAGAGCAGGCAACAGGTGGGTTTCCGATGCAGGCAAGAGGAGCAGTCTGGGCTCAGGTTCAGACATGATGTGACTTTGTTAGGACATGGGAGGACACATTATCAGCCTGCTGACCAAGGCAATTGGGATTAATGAAACTAGGTGATGGTAAGAATGCAGGTCTAAAAGGAAAATCCAGTCATGTTTTTTTCATGAAGTTGCTGAAACAAAGTTTTATCCCTTCAGTATTAGATAGCGGAGTGACAGATTTGGAAAGACAGGCTTCTCGTATGTGCTTCTCATTAGAGGCTGCCATTCCTAACAAGGTGCTGATGGACCTTGAGGACTTCCTTATTGCATCAATGCAGAAACACCCTGGGTAGTTCACACTGGTGGTGTAAACTCCTGGGTTTTTCTGAAGTTGGAGCCATGGGCATTGCAGGATTTGATAAAAGCACAGAGAGATTTTAGAGAAGGTGCTTATCTTAGGAAAAGTGTCAGCAGAATAATAATGTCAGTGCCCCAGTGCAACAGAGCCAAAAAAGGTGTACTAAGTCTAGTAAAAGAACTTATCTGCCTTTTAGAGAGAATTGGACTAAAAAAGAGATAATGTTACAGAACAAGTGGCTAGCGTGCCAAAATTACATGCAACTTTATTATTTTTTTCTTTTTGGCACTGGCTGGCACTGGCTGATTTTGACATGTTATCTTCCTACCTGCTTCACCTCATGCACTTTGTACTTTGAGCTTTGGAATGTGACTTTTGTTCACTCTCTCCTTACATTAGCAGCTCTCAGGAAGACCAGTGGGTCTATTGGGACCAAGAAGTGAGAAAAACATCATCAAGCCTCACGGCAAAGATATCTGTACATTGTCTGCCTGTAACCTGACAAAAGAAAGGAATGGGCTGTAACAGAAACTGTGGGCTCCTCACTGGGGCCATCTTTGGTGCTGTGTTGGCTATCTTTGGAGGAATTCTGATACCAGTTGGAGATAACCTCATAGGCAAAGCAATAAAAAAGGTAATTTTTTTTCTTTTTCCAGCCTATATGGGTTATGGTTATTGAAAGGTCATTAATTTTAAAACTTAAAAATAATGCTTTTTTCTCTATTTTCTTTATTAAACCTGAAAATGTAATGTGCAATCTGAACTTCCCTGAGAATAGATGCTGCAATAATGCTTTTAAAATATATTAATTATGTTGCCATGTTTACTTGCTTGTTCTATTTCATTCGTCACATGAAAAGTTAAAATATAGTTTTCAAGAAGTGTTTTTAATAATGTAATTTTGAATCAACCAATTTTTATATTTATTTCAATTATGAATGTTTTAGTTTCTTTATTTTTCTTTCATGATGATGCACTTATTTATTTTTCTGCTTTTCTGTCTTATTTTGGTACTTACTACATAAAATTATATTTATATACCACACAAACTTCTGATGTAGAATCTAATCCTATGCTTACATACATTCAGCTCACATTCTGTGATGAGATGATCCAAGTCAATGTGCAGCACAGAACTGCAGGATTGGATCATATAAGTCTCCTTGATTCAAGGAGTGTGAAGAATAGATGATGTAGAGTGTGGTAACCTGGGCTTTTTTTTTCTTGTCTTTTAGATGATTTTATGTCTTTAAAATCTATTTTTGTCTTTAAAGTAAAATGAAAACTTAATTTGCTAAATCTCTGGTGGGAAGGGTGAATAACTGAGGGTCTAAATCATGGAGAAATGTAGAATGAAAGGCCATGGAAGCCCAGGGGTGTCCACCATGGAGACACAGAGTCATGGAGTCTCTCAGGGGTCACTGCAGCCAAGGTGGGCTCTCCTATACTTAAAAGTCTAGAAACTTTAAGGTCTTTTGTTGATGGTTAGTCCTCCTAATGTTTTGCTGTGACACTGAACACTGCGGAGATGTTGCACATACTTACTCTAAGACCCTTGTGGAAGACTTCCATTAACAGCTATTGGAGTCAGTTGAGGAGGTGGATACATGAATTGTCAGATGTTAAACTATCTGTCAAGGCCCTGCTTAGATTCTAGTATCACTTTCAAAAAAAAAAAGTTAAAAAACCCCAAAATGATTCTATATAACATTTCAAATTTGTCAGCAAATCCAGTGAAAAGCCTAACTGTAGAGGAATTATCAAATTCTTATTGTATTTTTCATGGAATTTTCAAATTTATAAGGAATATCTATAGAGAACAATAAAGTGTGCCTCACTAGACAGTGTCTCGCCCACCTTGCAACATTTTGCAAAAAAAGTCATACTTTCTGTATTTGCAAATTTTTTTAATTGATTGACATATTGAGGAAATGACAAGTTTTCTAGAAAGCACATAATTTAAAAATGTGTATCTCCTTACATTAAATATTTACTTAGAGTTTATCCAGAGTGTTGTCTTATGCCATTAAATATTTCCAAAGCAAATTATACATACTAGCAAAGTTACAGGTTCATCTGTTTACTTATAATAATGAACCAGTTATACAGCATGGTTTGCAAGTGTCTACATATTAAATTGTACCCACATAAGTTCTTAGTGGTAAAGTATTATATGCAGTAATTTTTTCCTCAACCCCTTTATAATTTTCTGCTTTGTGATCGTGTTTCAGGTGCTTGTACTTATTTCATAGGATCATAGCATCATAGAATAGTTAGGGTTGGAAAGGACCTTAAGATCATCCAGTTCCAGCCCCCCTGCCATGGGCAGGGACACCTCTCATTAAACCATGTCACCCAAGAATTTCAAGGCAGCTTGCTTGATGTATATAAAAGGGGAAAATTTATACCAATATTTGTATAAAACATGAAAGACTAAATTTCTAGAGGCTTTACCTATTTAAATGAATGGATATTTTTTTTTCCTAAGCACAAGTCATATTTGATTATTTTCTTTCTATTTAGCATGTTATTTAGTGAGACCATGAGACTCTTTAGACAATTCCTTTTCAGAAAAGATAGATATGCCAAAGTACAGCAGCTGAAATATGTTATTAGTTCAGCAGACACTCAAGAGGGACTTGAATCTAACTAATTCTGATTTATTTGTGTTGATGAAAGGGCTAGTAAGAAAAACAAATATTTGTCACTCACTGCAGTTATATAAATGTAGAACTGACTGCAAAAGAAACAGGTCAGCTGAGCGGAGCATGCTGAAAATACTTTTTTTTCTGAAATATTTTACTTTTGAAAACGTTATTTTTTGAACATATTTTTGTTAGAAATAGATCAGTTTCAATGATAATTTTATTTGGAATTTCTTAAGAATAGAGGCTCTGGGGCAGGAAAAAAATAACGAGCAAGATGTTCTCTCAGATATGGCCTGTAAGCATTTTTATTTCTAATTATTTGGACTCATATGAGGCAAAGGCTGAACTTTGGTCCTTACCCACTGGGTGAAAATGAACGTCAAAATGCAAGATATTTAATGAAAGGGAGAAACTGTTTCAGACATCACCATTATAAGCAAAATCTGTTTTGAAATCTGCCCAGTCCAAAGCTTGCTAAAAGCCCCCTTGTTGTTCCTCTGCCTATACTGTTTCAGTGCAAATCCCAGTTCTTTGCACAAGTTGGCAGCAATGTAGCAAGACCCAATCTATATTTCTAGGCGAAATGAATGTTTCTGTAAAACATTATTGCTGGATTAGAGAAACAAATGTTGAATTTTTTTTCCCTCCTGAATAGTTTTAAGACACTTCATATTATAATTAGTCAAATTGTCATGTATTAGCTTGTTTTAACTTGTAATCAAGATTTGTTCAAATCACATTACAATCGTCTCACCAGCTGAACTTAGCATCTGCCAATAAATAGGCACAACTTTAATTTCAAAAATCAATACAATCAATGGTTCTCACCCTTCTTGTTCTGCTAGCAACAGGAAGCCTGAGCATGTTCCCCTTAAGCACACATCTTTGCAGCTTACCAGACTCTACCACCCTCATTTCTTTATTGCAGTCATTAGGAAATTAGGCTGAGTAAACACTGCAGGACATATTTTCCCGGAACGCTGTATACTGTTGTTGCAGCAAAGAGAAAACAACTGCAAGTTCATAGACAATCTCAGGTCCCCTTACAAATTTGACAGACTCACAGGCTATAGGCTGTTATTTCCTAGAAGGCAGGTACTGTTCACTACCCATAAACAGTCCACGGCTGGACAAGCCAAACTAAGTCCACGTAGCATGGAACACTAAGATGTTATCTCTTTATGTGTTCCAGTTTAACAGATGTGTGCTTCGACACCAAAAACATTGCTTTTCTAACCCCAAACTGCTCTACCTGTCTTTTCTTTAGATAAACTGTTTCCAATCCTGCCTCCTGGGGGGGGCAGAGTTTTAAAGAATGTTGGTGTTCTATGTGTTTTCTGAACATTTCAGAGGCTCTCTAAAGAAACGGTCACTTGAAGAGCACACTCAAAATGACACCACCACCACCAGCATCTTGGCAGAGATCCACTGAATGAGATTAGTGCTAAGCTATTTCAGCACTGATACTATGTAGGGACCGGAGGGAAAGGCTTCCCCCTTAAGAGGTGCTTCTGATTTCAGTACCAAAGGGCTTTGTTTCCTGGACTGAATCTATCCAGAGGGTAGAGGTGCCTTTACATGGAGGTTTTAGAAGCTTAGAAAACAATACTAGGTACAGTCAGGAGCAAAACACGACATTTTCCATGTTCTTAGCAAAAAAACATTTTTTCAGGCTATGAGAATGTTTCTCTTTAACCAACTCCACACATTCCGGTTGCACATTATCATGTCTGTTATCCTTATTATTAGACATTATCATGTCTAACAATAAAAAAAATCAAAAGGAAAGGGGAATTCAAACAACAAATCAAATATCTCGATCTGATATTGTGGAAAGGACATATTTTGATATGGCTCAATTACTGCCTTTTTGCCTTTCCCTCCATTAAAACAATGCTATTTATTTAGGCAAAATTCCCATCATTTCAGTTACAATAAAACTTTTTTTTCAGTTGATCGGGATATTGTTGTTTTTTTTCCCCCCCAGCTACTTGTAACCACTCAAACCCATTGGTAGGTGGTTCATTTGCTAGAAAAATCTTTATCTCCACTTCTCTAGGAGCTTTTGCTTTCTACCTGAGCCCATGAGCTCAGGAGGTTAACAGAAGCTGCAAAATGTTACTTAATGTACTGAATTGCTGATGAATTGATAATATAGAATGGTGCATGATTTGTCACAATACCTCAGTGCTACACTCTTCCTGTAGAGTTCTCAAGGTTTGTCTGGTTTATTTTAAGAAATAAGGCTATCAGTTTTAGCTATCATTATGTTTATCCATCTGTCTGTCAGTGTATGTTATTTAAGATTGTCCAGATTGTATCTCCTCAGCTACTGGATGTATTGGAAACACTTCTAATCTAAAAGTGTGCTTATGACATTCATATGCAACTTCTTTATCTAAACTAATGAAACTAAAGCTACTGCTGGCTCTCAGCAGAACATAAGTGATCTATGTGATCACACGTATTCCAGCATTACCAATGATAAACTTGACTGGATTCTGTAGGTTTTTGTTGTAAAAGACTGAAAAATGACTAAAAGTTTTGGTCCAGCAAATCCTGACTAGAAAGGCTAAAACTAAGCTAATAATCATCACTTAAAAAGTAATAAATGGCTGTTCACACTTTCAGCTGCAAAATTTTATTTGCTTTGCTGGAACTTAATTAATTCAAGTTTACAGAGTTGTATTGGTTGTTTCTTCAGCTTACATAGACAGCCCAACACATACAACACAGAAATAAACTAATAACAATTTTATTACCTCCTAAAGTACTCATGGCATTTCTCTGTTCCCAGAAAATGGCATTTTTTGTCCATCTGGGCAGATCTTTCCTTGAGACAACAACTTTGTCCTACATTTTGTATTTCTTCATCAGGAATCACAATGGCTGAATTTAGCATAAAGTGGCAAAATACAGCAGGCTTCAATTGCTGACTGCTTGGCATTTCTTGAATTTATATATTGCCAGTTGAACCAGCACAAGTAGGGGGAAAAGTGTGTCAGAAACAAAAGGGGTTAAAGTTCCTATTGATTTCACTCTGTGTTGCGAAGTTAGATCATGAAATGGACTTGGCTGTGTAGCAATTAGATATTGTATATCTGCTGTTGCTAACAATAGTTAACTATTGCATAAGGTATTAGAGCTGATGTAGGTTGACTAGAGAGTTGAGAAGTATTTTGTATTATCAACTGCAGATTAGTAGTTTCCCAAATTACTCCACCTTTCATAATATCATAAAGCACGGCAGTGTTATGAGGGGAGTGTACAAGTGACCAGCCACTGAAAGGGGTAATATCTAGGGCTGACCTCACCCAAGGGCTTGCTGGTGTGGTGAATATTAGTTTTATCAAATCAGGACATGGAAAATGACAGAGTTCTACATTTTCTTCTACTTTAAGTCACCATTTGCACTCTTGAACCATATAGCAGAGAAACACACGTCTCCTTTGTGAGAGAAATGTTACTAACAGTAATGGCTGGATGCCACTGAAAACAAGGGTCTTGCTCTATTGTCCTGCTGTTTCCCTTGTTTTAACTTGTGTTCTCATCAGATTTTTCCCCTACACAGACCACTGAGCCAAGATGCTCACTGGTAGAAAGGTAATCCAGAAAAAAACAAAGGGAAAAAAAAAAGTAAAAAAGAAAAAAAAAAAGAGTAAATTAGTTTTTCTCCAGTCCAGCAGGCAGAAACAGCTCCCTGAGCAATGAGAGCTGGCACAAGGGAAAGGGGAGACACATGGATCAGGTACTGGGGGCTGCAGTAGCCAGCATGCCCCTTTGACTGCAGCACTATCAAGTTGGATCAGCTGTCGCCTTGAAGCATCCCCCAGGAGTGTCCATGGTGGCAATAGCACAGAGTAAATGTTGAGCTGCAAATCCACACAGTAACTCTTTGTGACCTGACTGCCCCATGTACTCAGGTCCCAGGGACCTCTTCGTACAAAGCCCAAAGTAATTTTTCTCTGTTGGCATTTCCTAAGGGTATAATATGGAAATAGTTGTTATTCTTGCATGAAAAATAAAGGAGAACCACCCCACCTCTTTATTTTAGATTGATAAGAAAGTACATAGTATAGTGAAGTGCAGCAAGGAGCAGAACAGAAAATACATGAAAAGGCATGTCACCATAGCCTGCAGTCTCAGTTTACATGGAAAGATGTCCTGGTTGTACTAAAGAGCCAGTATAAAGTCCTGCACACTCTTGGCTTTCCCTGCAACAGCAGTGTGAAGATTACAGTCAAAGATCCACCCTTTGAAAAAAAGTACCGTAATTTACATGTGAGGAAACATGTTCCTTATATTCTTCCAAGTCAACACAAGGTTGTAGGATGTCATCATTGCAGCATAAACATTTTTCAAAGCGCCCAGAATGCCTAGATCTGGAGGCAGGTTGGGGAGTATTTCTGTGTCTATCCAGGATTGGAAGAGAGGTCGTATGGCTCAGGCACTCCGAGCAAACTCTGCAGTGGAAGAGGAGTTAACATAAAATTCTGTGCTATTATTATCCTTAGCAAAGGTTTAAAAGGGTAAGGAGGAATGAAAGGAGGGGGAAACTTCTTTTAAGAAGCAAGTAACACTACTTTAAAATCTATTGTCACAAGGTTGACACTTCTCTATTCACCTCTGTACCTGTGCGTTGTTGACCTCTAGAGAGTTTAGTTTGTCCTCCTGATCATATAGCCGCCAGGAATCCTTAACCATTTCCCTACTCCAGTTACACAGAAGCAGGATGTCAAATCCTGTCATCTCTTCCCATCCCACGATCCTGCTGAGTACAGATCACAGGCAGACACTGAGCAGATCGAGTTCAACCTTTCTTTATATCAGCCTGCTTCTCCTAGATCCTTTGAGCAGTTCTCTGTGGAAACTGAAAAGGTGATTTAAAAATCATGTAAACTTTTCTCTCTTCATAAGGAGGTCTGCCCCATGCTGGATCACAGCTGTAATAGTCTCTGACCTCCTGAGGTTTGCAAAACAAGGCTGAAGAGAACTTCAGCTGTCTGGTCTGAGCACAAGACCTCAAGTTGATAACATGTTTCTGCTGCAAGATTTCCTTCCCCTCTCATACAATTGTGCATTAATTATAGCATTATATTCAGACAGCAAGCCCAGTGCTTTACACCATGAGCAAAGCATTTGCAACTGTACCATACAAACAGGCTTTCCACAGACAAAGCCCTAACTATGTGGTGAGTTCTCCAAGACGTGGTGTTTGTTTCTAACTGCAGTGGTTCTTAATTGGTAGGCTCCTGTTTTTTTGATGGTGCCTGGTAAGCAAACTCTAGAGGCAGAAACTTAAGCTAGAAAGAATATCTCCCAGCTTGTAATATAAAATGTCTTTTCTTGCTCTCTGGAGGGATTCCAGACTTTTAATTCCTGGGACTCTATGAGCTGTGCGAATTAACTAATCAATATTACACCACTCTAATAAAAAATCATTTCATGTTACAAACAGGCAGCCTAGATTTTTCTTCTTACTGAAAAAACTCTGAATTTTTACCATTAAGGAGAAACATTATGTTAACCCAGGGCTTTGGAAAAATCATATAGAAAGAGACCTGATGTACACTAGGCAAAGCAGGCATTCCCCTGACAATACAGGAAACATACCTACAAACTCTCCTCAATAATCCTAAGAACTGAATAGACATTTAAAATATTATAGCCGAGTGTCACAGACATAAAGCTGCTGGTTACTCTATAGTGGTTCCCGATGCCCTGTCTTGTCCTTATAGCTATATTTTGCCCTCATTCTCTAGAACTGTGAAACTTTTCTAACAAAACATTATCAAAACTAGAAAGATTTCTTAGAAAGTCTCAGCTTTAGTGACAAGAGTTTTCTGACAAAAACCAGTCCTGCAAAAACACTATTTGCTTTCTCCGGGTGCAAAATTACTTATTGACTGAGTAATGCTTAGAGACAACTCTCGTTTCTTCCCTTGGACTATTTCCAAATGTATGAAAAGTAGTTCATGGGTTCTGAAAACTGCTGCGTATCATTCAGTCATTCTATTTTTATATTCTATTTAATAATTTTCTTCTTACAGATCATCACTGGATTTGGCAAGTATTTAGGAACCAGGGCAATGCCCAACCACAGCAGTAGTGAAGTTTTTCTATGGGCTACAGTAGAAATCATATCAGCTTTGTTGTTACCTATTTTAGGGGGGGCTCGCTTTTGCTGTCACTGAGCGGGAATGTCAGGGTGCCTTCAAATGCTGGCCAGAAATGTGTGCTGTATGTCTCACACTGATGATAGCTTTTTTTCCCTGTTTGTTTGTGGATATTCTACGATCATTCGGAAAGTAAATGCAGCTTGTCAATCACTTTTTGTGGTTAATTTTAGCTTTTATTTTTGTTCTTTCAGGAAGCTGTCATTGTCAATGGTACCATTGCTTTTCAAAATTGGCTTGTGCCAGGAAGTTCAGTTTACAGGCAATTTTGGATTTTTCATGTACAAAATCCTTCAGAGGTATTAGAGACAGGAGCACGTCCAAAACTTGAACAAAGAGGACCTTACACATACAGGTGAGCAACGCCCCCTGAATTTGTGACATGTCATAACAGAAGTTTTATTGAAGTCAGATAAAGTTCTGCTTAGTTACAATGGATTTTTGAAATTCCAGCATTGTATTTTAGACAGACTTGACAAAAATGCCTAAACCACAGAGTTCCGTAGAGTTCCACAGAGCAATCACAAACACTTTCTGTACTGAGTCTCACACTGGGAAAAGACGTATAGAAATAAGTAACTGGGTGTGAAGCTGTCTGCTTTTGTGAAAAACTATTGCTCATTAGCAAGATATTTGCCACAACAACACAATGTTGTATTTGTTGCTTCTCAGTTTTCGACAACTTTTTGCATAGAAGAAAATACACCAGATGCCTTAAACCCACATATCACTCATATTTATTTTATAGCATGTGTTTTATTTGCTCCTTTATGACTTATTTTTAATCTATAGCTTTTCCTTTTTTAAATTTTCCTCTGAAAAACATTCCTTTTTTCTGAATGTACTATCTAGGGCCTAGATGCAGCAGTCCAACCCATTCAGGGAAACTTTTAATGATTTCCTTAATTTTGAACTGTGATATGGACATAGGACTAGTTGATGCTTCCTGAGTCATTAAGCCCAATATCCAGCTGTCACTAGGACCCTTGTTTTCCTAAAACAAAACGGTATTTCTTTCTTGATATCTTTGGGGTTGTATATTATATATTCAAGATGTTTGTGCATTGTACCATCTACAGCTGAGTTGCTTTGGTTATTTATTTCTCATTGGAAATAGAGAACTCTTGGTTCAGAAAGTACCTGGGAAAATGTATCAAAAATGGGTACACAGGAATCAGGAAACTGAACAGTTAAGAAATACTGAAGAAGGTTAATTCCCACCGAAAACAAATGTTTTACTGTGGTGATAGTGCCTTTATTCTCAGGGACTAATCTCTGCCAGAAGCCTGGAGAAAACTATGTAAGAAATTATGATTATGCATTAGGTCTTTTGTTTCCAGTTAGAAGTAACATAAATTAGAAAAAAGATCTCCCAGTGTTCAGGTAGATGCTCTACACATTAGGCTATTAATCAAAATGACATGCATACAAACCAGTCTTGAGAAGCCAAGATCCAGCTGCTTTTGGGGTAAGGCACTGCACTGGCTATATCTGTACCATAAGGAAACACCCTCTGAACTTTCTGGTCCATTCATACTCAGGCTGGAAGATCTGATGGAGTACCCTGAAGATCCCTTCTGGGATGGAGCTGGGACAAGCCTTGTGGACCCACAGCGTAGACCAAGTCCTGTGATGCCTCCTGGATGCTACTCCCACAGAGGGGTCAGCAGGAGGATGAGGACTTGTAGAGTTGAGCTAAAGCTTGAATTGCAGTGGAGATTTGTATCTTAGAGATCTGCTGGCAGGGCTTGATCAAGAGGCTTATGAGAATCTCAGTGGAGATGAAAGACTGCTTATAAATCTCCACATGCATATGAAATGTTGTCAAAGTGACTCCCATTATGGATTTAATCTTTAACCTGCTTTATTGCAACACAAGCCTATCAATCAGATCAGAAGTTGAAAGTGTTTATCAGCTATTCTGAGTCACTCCCTTCTAATTACATGCAACATGAAAGCTTAGACAAAAATGTGACAAAACATAATTAACTTAAAATACTAAAAGATACATGGTCCATTATTGAAATGAAACTAAAAAAGAAATATTTGTTTCCATTTTAGTATCAAGAAAAAAAGTCCATTAGGCACTAAGGAAATATTTCCAAAATAATATTTTTTACAGAAAATGGAATTTTTACACGTATTCATATGAAAAGTTTAGAATCCTTTCAATTGCTATAAAATATTTAACATTCATCATAAAAATGTTCATTAGTGTTTTAAAAATCTTCAGTCAGTCATGGCTGTATTGTCTCAAAAACCAAATGTTAAAACTATTCTATGTTTTTTTTTGTCTTCCAAGGGTGCGATATTTACCCAAAGAAAATATCACAGAAAACTCTGATGGCACAATATCCTACATGTTGCCTAACATTGCTCGTTTTGAACCTGATATGTCTGTTGGGACAGAAAATGATACCATCACCTGCCTCAACCTTGCTGTTGTTGTAAGTAAAGAAACAAAACATAATATCCACATTCAAATGTTGATAGACTGGAGGAAATAAGGTTAGCATTAGTAACACTGAAACCACCACTGGATAGGTTTCCTCTCTATAACTCAGATGAAATGAATGTCAGCTACCCTGAGGATATATTGCTATACTTTAAGGATTCCTTATGTTCCCAGGGCAATCTTATCTGTAAATGAAAATTGACTGGTTCCTGTCAATAAAAGGGTTTGGATGGGATGTATCAAAAAGCATCCTCCTAATTAATTTTCGTGCGGGAATGAATCTAGAGTTTGTGGATGGACTGTCCTTCTGTGTGAGGTACAGCATGAACACTACAAGGCAGATTTGCCATATTCTTTCCATAACATCCTCAGTCCTGCTTTGCAGGGGAGGCTGTAATACCACGTTCACCGCAGCTGCTTGCCTCCCATGGTGCCCCTCAGCACCACTGCAATGGCATCCGCTGAGCCCTCCTTCGTCCTTCAAAGAAGAGCACAGGAGTCCCCACCTAGAGCAGTACTGGAGTTCAGATGTTTTTGTGTCATCACAGCCTAAGACTGTTTTACCCTTGGCTGATGTTCACAGTTTTCATGTTCATACTCAGCCCTGGTTGTGTTGCATAATTGTCTTGCTAGTACTAACTCTGGGGTGTCTGAGTGTGGGTGTTCAGGTTTACTGTGAGAGGGTGCCTCATAGGGGGAGAGTGAAGACATGATTGGTGTAAAACAAGATAGATTCATACCAACAATCGCAGAAACATAGGAGAGCCCATGTTGGAAGGGACCTCAAAAGATCATCTGATCCAACCTTTTCTGAGAAAGGGAGACTATACTGAATTTTCTAGCACCCTGTCCAGTTGCGCCTTGAAAGCCTCTACTGATGGGGACTCTGACATTTCAGTGATTGACAGTTCTCACTGTAGAAAAAGAAATTATTTCTTCTATCAAGATTAAACCTTTCCTAGTGCAACTTGTACCCATCGCTTCTTGTCTTCTTCATGTCACTTCTGTGGAAGAAAGAGCCTCCATCCTCTTTGTAGATGCCCTTTAAGTACTGGAATATTGTGATGAGGTCCCCTTGAGCTTTCTCTTCTCTAGGGAGAAAAGACCTAATAAATAAAGGCGAATGACCTTATTCTGACCAGATATATTCTGCCTCTGTCCTAATTTAGGCCAGCATTTATCTTTTGAAAAACTGTTCTTGTTTCCTATGCTCAGAGTCCTTCATGCCACAGCATTAACTAATACTGCTCAGCTCCCACACTTTGGACCACATAGCTCTTTATGGGTCTAAGCATGGGCTCATGAGTCGAAGTATCTGTGTCAAGGGAGATGGCATCAGAAGGTCCAAGCTCCATTTTGCTGGTCAGAAACAAACTGGTGTAAACCTAAATTCCCAGAGAGGCTCTGTCTATCTCATTTGACAGCACCGAATTTAACCAAGTAGAGCCCATGTTTTATATCATAAACTTGTTCTTAAAAGGAATTCAGAGGGATGTTTTTCACACTTTTTTAACCTTGAGGGAATTGAATCCACATCTCTGTCTCATGATCTTGTCATATCCATGTTTTCTGCCTTCTTGTGTTCAATTTTAGACAACAGTGAAAGATTCATTGGGAAGAGAAGGGTAGTAAATGAGAGCTAAAGAGACTCTTCCATTGCTATCGTCAAAGCATGTGTACAAAGAGGTGGCCCACTAACAGGCCTATGCTGAGAATTTACTCTAAAAGAATCAGTTGTTTTTACACAGATCTACTTATTAAAACTGTTTTGATACAGACCGAGATAAATAATTTCTGTTTGCTTTCCACAAGCTATTCAGCATGTTTAGGGACTTGACTTTGTGTCTATCCCTCTGGGAATGTTCAGTACAATTAGTGCTGGTAAATCTACAATATTCTTCATTGAATTAGGAAAATTTATCCATTATTTAGAATTAAAGCTGTTCAGAAAAGACTTGTTTGTTGCAAATATGTGTTCTTTCTAAGTGAAGAAATAATGGAGATTCATCACTTGGTCTGTTTTATGTAGTTGTAGTTGAAGTTGCATCGCTGCTACCTTAACAGCAAATTTAAACTACTTATCCAAGCTGATAACTAACAAGTCTTGTATCCTTTTACTTACATGTTTATCATATGAGTGAGTCTGAAGTATGTGACATATGGAGATGACAGAGAAGAGATAGAAAACTGAAAATGGCACAGTCCATGTTTTACAGATAGGGATTTTAAATTATTACTTTATTATTCCTGTTCAAAAGTTGTCTGGCTGTGGTCCTGGGCAACTGGGTCTCGGTGGCCCTGCTTGAGCAGGGGGGTTGGACCAGATGATCTCCAGAGGCCTCTCTCAACCTCAACTGTTTGGTGATTAGGGATGATACAGTGAACTCATGTGAGAAATAAAGACAAATTGTCTGCTTTTGTGTAAGTTATGTCCAGCAATTGCTTTGTGAAGGAGTGTCAGTTTTAAGTAGAAACACGATTTAGTGGGCTGCAGCTCTGGAAATTGTCTTTGCCAGAGATTTCTTGGAGTCAGTCTCTGTGGTTTTGATCCAAAAGACATGCAGAATTTTATGCTAAGCATTAATTTTATTGCTGTTGTAGGCTGCACCTGCCTTGTATACAAACACTTTTATACAACTACTATTAAACACTTGGATTAAATCTTCTAAGTCATCCATGCTGCAGAACAGAACAGTGAAAGAAATACTGTGGGGATACAAAGATCCCTTCTTAAACAAGGTCCCCTTCCCCTTGGACCCAGTACTAGGAGTCTTCTACCCGGTAAGTGAAACCAATGAGAAGGCAAAGCCTTCGGTTATCATTCTGTGAATGAGAACTGCTGTGAGGAACTAAAACGTGACCATGCTACAATCTGGTTCAGTACTTCTAACAGTTATTCCTTCTTGTGTCTGTTACAGTATAATGGGACGTTCGATGGACTTTACAAAGTGAATACTGGGCAAAACGATATTAAAAAAACAGCAATAATTGAAAGCTATAAAGACAAAAGGTATCATAGCACTGTGTAATTAAAAAGCATATATATTTTCAACGTGTGGCTTTTAAGGCTTGATTCACTAAGAACTATAGATAAATGGAAAATCTTCAGCAATTCAAAGGAAGCTGGATCAAGCCCTGGGCTTAGCAAAACCACCTCTCCCTTTCAGCTATTAATAATTCTGTTAGGAGCTTGGATTTAAGACAGTTATTGATTCTTTGACACAAATAGTTACTTCTGGTTTTCATACTTAAGTGACTAGATCCCTTTTATCCTGTTATAATGCATCATACAGTTGATCTGAAAAAATGTCTGTCTTCTGACTTTGCTAATGAACCAGGCTTATACTGGAGCAGTTATATTTAACAAGACAATTAGGCAGCAATATTGAGCAATTTAACAGGTAATGAAATTGATTACACAGTATAATATACTACATGCAGCATGACTTTTTTTTATCTTAAAGGAATCTCTCATATTGGGAAGGTCACTGCGATTTGGTTAATGGCACAGGTGAGTCTGTTAAAGTCTGTTAAATTTTGTTTAAAAATTCAATACTTTTCTTGATATTGCAAGGATACAATAAACACAGTATAATAAATACAATATTTAAGTTAATAATCCTGGGCTTTGACAGGTCTGTATTCTGTACATTAAATGTCTATATAAAGAATGTATACATACTACTATTACTACACATGGATATGTGTGTATATATTAATACATATTATATGGTATTGTGCATTATTTTATATATATACATATGTACACCACCTTCTTCAGCTAGAATACATGTGAAAGAGACACAAGAAAAGAATCCAACTCTGTTTCTGCTAATTATCTTTATTTTTCATATGGTACACAGTTCCTCTTGAAGATTCTTATTCTTTGCTATAGCTTCTGAAAATTATCTTTGCATTCAAATAACTTAAATTCATTTGCAGTGCTGAAAAATATAATTAAATACAGTATTTTTTTTACTGAGATATGAGAAGTAATTGAGGTGACAAGAGAGAACTCTGTCAGGCAGGTGGTTTGGAGGCCACTAGCAAGTGGAAAGGGGTGAAGAAGTTTAATTTGAGAAGAATAAACTGGAGAGGAATACTTTGGAATTTGCTTTAGGAATGCAAATGAAAACAGTTGAGTCATTCAATATACATTTGTGCAAGACGATATTTTTCTTCTTGATGAGTAAAAGAAGATGATGTGAAAGAAAATAGTTGCTGTGAGGATACCATAGTCTGTTGAGCTGAGGCTGGCAGATGTCATGGTGGAGGCTTTGGCAGGGAACTGTAGTCCTTCAGTGCATGAGTATTAAACAAGAAGAGTTTGAGGTTGTTTTGTTTTGGTTTGTTTTTTCTTTTCTGTGCTGCTTTACCTGGCATAGATAATTTTCCTTGTAACCATCCTTATTTTGAAGTATTTCAAATACATCACAAAAGTCTGACTTTTCAAAAGTCTGTGAATCAGGAGGGATTAGTTCCTTTTTAAACTATGGAATTAAGTTTGTGAGAGGCAATCTTTTCTTAGGTTTCAGACTCCTTTTTTCTTAGGGAGCCTGAAACCTTTTTTCCCCGGGTCAGTTTTTTGTTTTTTCTTCTTCCACATCTGATGGAATAAACATACTCAGCTGACTAGAGTTAAGTACTCCAGCACAGTGAAAATGTTAAGCTTTTCCTTGTTATCAAAGGTTAACTCACAGTTTACAAGAGCATTCAGTGTAACTGCTCACGAAAGACCATGTGTTTAGAGAAGCAGTCTTGTTAAGTTTAAAAAGTCTTGTAAGTAGGATTGACAATTCCTTCTTGTAAGGTTTCACACCAAAGCACAACATTTATAGTATAAGTAAATGTCTAGATAAAAATATTAAGCAGTATTCTTGTATGGGGCTTGAAATGATTCCATGTTTGCTAACCTTCGAAGACTGCCAAGATTTAGAAATAGAGTGTGTGTCTAGGATGATCTTGGATCTTTAAGAAAAAGTGCTTCTGTCAGCAGTGGGCAAGTGGCAGTTTGTAATTTAGCTTTCTTGCTCTTGCCAACTAGATTCAAAGATATCACAGATGTTTTCAATCCCTTGGTTACGGCTGGTGACTAAGAAACTAAGCAGAAATTGTAGCAAGAAGTAACAAATGTACTGGTTAAAGGTTTGTTACAACACCTTGTTTGGGAAAATGGCAGAGACTCCTCTTACTTAACTCTGGATGCTTGCAATGCAGAAATATGCATCTGAACTGGTCATATTCTTTTTATAGTGAGTGGAGAGAAAGACACCACCAAAATGTTAGTACTCTGACCTATTTTGCATGTTTACCGTGGAGTGAGATGGGCTGTGTCCTAGAAATGCTTCCTTCTCTCCATTAACTATAGAGGGGATCTCAGGTTGCAAAGAAGAGGTCCACTTGAGCAATCTTTGGTGAAAAAAGGCTTAGCACTCATTATTAAATAGGCAGGTTTGAAGTCTAAGCTGTGTTTCTTGTAAGCGCTAAGTGCCGTAACTCTAGGTGAACCAAGCATCCCTACAAAGGTTTAGGTCTTCAGACTGCATAAACCTTGAAGCAATGGCATTGGATATTTGGATTCATATTAAGCATGATTAGTTTTTGTATCTTCTGTTTTTGAATGGCTTGATCATATAGTTTCAAATCAGTGGGGGAAAAAAAATAGCTGCCATAATTTGGCTCACTTTCAAAAGCAATACAATCTTATCTATGGAGTGCCTCTCACTGCACACTAACTTACATAAATATTTTTCCCAGCAGTGACTCATTTTGTTTACATTTTTCACAGCTTTATAGAAAGTAACAGCTGAGTATTGAGCTAGAAATTAAATAATGTTTTCTAAGTGGAATTGCTTTCAAGCTCTTATTTTATTTTATTTACAGATGGAGCATCATTCCCACCGTTTGTTAAGAAGGATCAGGTACTGCGCTTCTTCTCCTCTGATATTTGCAGGTAGGCTGGTCCTTTCCTGGTGTATGTACACACCTGCGTGTGCCATCCAAATGCTTTTTCATTTCAGAGGTTGGCTGCAGTGGCTCTGCTTGGGCTTAGGTCACCAAGGCCATTCAACATAAGCATTTCACCTAAAACCAGGCAAATTCATGAGCTGTGCTCATGATTCAGAACCTGATTCTACCAATTTTATGTCTCATAGCAAGCTATTTGTGGTGTATTTTATATCAGCCAGTTCCAGATGTATAATTCAGAGATATCTGACAGTGCTGTGAGCTGTTACAGAGCTGTGAAAGACATTGAGACAGGGCTCAGTCGTGAACTTTTAAAATCAGGACCCAGCCTATAACCTGCCTTGTTTGGTCTGAGAAGTCAGCTTGGGCTGGTTCGGCTTGGCATTTCTGCAGAACATCGTCTAGGAAGAACAGGATTTACTGTCATACACTAGATACTCAAAATTGTTTTCTCACAGGATATTATTACATGGTTTATTTTTATGTATTTACAAACAAACCTGCTTACTGCATCCCATACTGATGGCTTTTCAACCTGCTTTTTCTGCTGTGGATATCCAGTGTCCCTGAGTTCTCCACTGGGATTGCTGAAAGCTATAAGATTTAAAGTACATCACAGTGTATTTACTTTGGGAGCTTCAACCCCTTTATTTGTTTTGCTGCCTGGAAACAGCTGCTTCCCTTTAACTGGGTTTAAAGTGGGTCATTTGCTGTGTGGGCTATTTGTTTTTAAAAGAATCAGTGTTTTTTACATGACTTTAAAGCTCTTTTTCTTTTTTATGAAGTAATTTTATCCCAAACTGTCCCAAATTTCACAAGTCATGGAAAAGGGAATTCTATGCAGAGGAGAAATGACAAAATTCTTTGGATCGACTGCATACAGTTTAAGACATCCCTCTGGCCATTGAACTCTCGCAATTAATGAACAATGCATAAGGACAGTAACAGTCACCCAAAGGTTATGTTGAAATAGGGTCATGTAAAATGTTTCTGTTCATGTTGCAAACCCCAGAACCCCTCTTTTTCATTTTTTCTTTGCTGCAATACAAACTGTTGTTGCCTTGGTTACATTACTGTGTAACAACTATATTGGCTGATAATGTATCAGCAAAAAGAAGCTTAAGTGGTATTCTGATTCATATCTAATGGGTACAGAATGTTGTCTGCATCATAAAGCTTAGATTAGTATTATCTAACCATTAGGGCATCAAAACCCTGTACCAAAGCTGATTTATATTGCGAAGTATCATGCCTATTGTAGTCCAACTTTCCAAACTTTCATAATAACAGTGTGTGTAGAAGTGTATAGGGAACAGAGCTCTTAGTTAATATGTTAGTATTATGTATATTGTTTATTAGTAGTGCTAGTATTTTTGTCTGTCTTTGTGTGTATTGTTGTGCTTACCTCTGAGTTTGTATATCCTTTTGTAAAGGTGTGGAATACTCTCCATTACAGAGGAATATCCCTGCAAACTGCTGAACAGTGTGCAGGGAGCCTCGACGTCAGCTCCCTGGAGTAACTGTTTCTTTTAAGAGGGTGACAACTGGGGGATCCTTAAGGAGTATTGCCACGAATTCAGACTTGTAACCCAAATGACTGAAACGTGTTTCTCCTTTTCTATATTCAGATCAATCTATGGAGTTTTCCAGGGCGAGCAGAATGTGAAGGGAATCTCGCTGTATCGTTTTGCAGTTCCTCGTGAAGCATTTGCATCACCTGCTGAAGTCAGCGATAATTATTGCTTCTGTACAGATCAAGTCATATCAAAGAACTGCACATTAGCTGGAGTCCTAGATATCAGTGCCTGCAAAGCAGGTATAGTAGTGACACGTTACTGCCAAACAAGCCATTTAACTGGGGAGAAAGCAGATGCCCTGTAGCTGGTGCGTTACTTTAAGATACAGGACGTTCGTGTTTTATTGTGAATTCTTCCACAGATTGCCCGTGAGACCTGCCACATTTCACAAAATGAAGCCTGTAATATTTCTGTATTTTTCATAATGCTCTGCAAAATCATGATACTACAGCTCATACACACAGATTGCAGCGATGCGTGTATAGAAAGGAAAGCAGGAAACACTCTATAAAAGCCAGGATAGTCACAGTCCTTGTATTTGTGATAATTCACCGTCATACAAGGTGTAAGAGTATGTGTACATACCTAAATACAAATGCAGAGACTGAGAGACACTGCTGGCTTAGTTTAACATCAGTGCAATATAACGAATATACAGAGTGTGCATTTGGTGCAAGGTGGAGAGCATGATTTCCCTTCAGGCTTTCTTTCTGCTAAAACAAGATCATGAGGGTGGGGGGAAACAGTGGAAGTCAGGTTCTCACCTCCATGTGAAACTGGGAGCAGTGCCGGTTCCACAGACAAGTAGATTTGTAACTACAATTTAATTCACTGTGCACATTTCCCTCATGACAGTAGAATCACAGAAATGCTCACACTTCTTCTGCGGGGTGGGACTATTAACACTTTTATCAGGATTGTGTGTCTATATAAAAAACTGTGTTTGCATGGAAAACATCCTCAGAAAATGAGCACTGAAAAGAGACTTAATGATTCAAGTGAATTTGCTTTGTTTTTAAACAGGAAGACCGGTATTTATCTCTCTTCCTCATTTTCTTCATGCAAGTGAGTCTATATTGCATGATGTTGAAGGCCTGAGCCCAAATGAGCAGGAGCATGAGACATTTCTAGATGTAGAGCCTGTAAGTCCAAATATTTAATAATTGTAACTGAGTGAACTTGCAATGTTTAAATTTAATTATAATACAGTAGGTCTTTTACCAAAGGGATGAGCAGAAGATAGAGTATTTTCATGCTTGTTTCTGCAAGACCTGCTCACAAAAGTATTATGTTTTAGCTGGGGAAATTTAGAGCAGAACTGTGTCTCCTTCTGACCTTTAAAGTTTGGAAAATAAGTTTTGATTTTTCCTTATTAGAAACGTAGGATCAAGGAGACTCTACAAACTTTGAAGTAAGCTATAGGTTTTCTATGACCTGCAAGTGCTTCAGAGGAAATTCTTTCCTATGAAAGTTCTTCTGTTCCCTCTATACTTACTTTTTTATTTTCTATAGCTACCCACTTTTGTATAATTATGTCTCAATTGAATTTACATAAATATAAAACAGTTTATTTCCAAGAAAATTGCTAGAAGTCTGAACAGACTAGTCTAGAACAGGTCTAATACAGTCTTTGTGACTCAGATTGTCCAAGCTGAGTGAATTTATGATTCAGCTGTGATTTTGATTGCCTCAAATTTTACATCTACTTCTGTTCCAGGGATTCAGACTTCTAAGTTTAAATGTATTGATCAAAGTTTTCTGAATTGCATGATGAATTCCAAAAATTCTGTTTCAGTTCCAAAATTTTGTTTTGCTCTCTTTGAATTTGGATGAAAAGAGAAAATTCAAGATTTTCACTGAACTGTTTTTAGTCATATAATTCAACAGTTAAATTGTGTAACTTCAGTGAGGAGATCTAAAGTTAATTTTTTGTTTCACCTTACTTGGAATAGAGAAATAAACCAGAATTTCCTAAATCTGATGTGAGATTTTCAAGAATCACACCCTGCTGTATTTTTGTGGAGGACAAAGGGTAAAAGAAGATGATGGAAAGATCTTACCTTTGTTTTAATATGGTTTGGTTTTTTTTTTTTTTCTGATATGTAATATTTTTATTTATATATTTTTAAGTTGAACATTCTTTTTTTTGAAAAGGAAAATTTAGCTGATTTCTGGTGGGGAAAAATCCCCACCCTAAACCAGTTCATGACTGATTTAGTATTTTTAACCTTCTTTTTGCCTTCAGTTTCAATTGCAAATTACAAAAGTAACTATGGTAAAGCCGCAAAATTAGAACTTCTGATTTGAGAAGTTGAGAAATGAGAGATCCTTAGAAACATGAAAATTTCATAAAAATGGAATCATTCAAAACACAAAGATAAAATAACACCAAAGTTCTTTTTGACACAGTCCATATTCTAGGCTTTTGCATCCAATTCAAAAATTTATATTAATGTGGTTGGTTTTTTTTTTCCTTTTATGGTTTTAGATCACTGGTTTTACACTACAGTTTGCAAAAAGGCTGCAAGTAAACCTCCTTGTGAAGCCTGCAGCAAAAATTGAGTAAGTGCTATTTCATTACTTTATTTTAAGGACTTTTTTCAAGAGGGTTGATTGGTCTGTGAGAGTGTCAGTAGAAATGGCTGGGAAAAGAAGGAATAAAAATACTCTCCCAAAGCCTTTTTGTCTTTCTTGCAAAGATTTTAGTCATGACTTTTCATAGAACATAACTTCCAGCAAAAGAGCAAGCCTTGAGCCAGGCACTGCCCAAGTGTTCTAACACATATCTGATTTTCCCCACTGAAGCTTACAAGGCAACATGTTCTTAAAAACAACTTTCTTACAAAACCCAAATGTGAGTCATGAGGATAGAAGGCAAATGCATTCTCTGAAATAAATCCACTGAGAGAATTTGTGTGCTCTTTCACTAGATGGATTTTATCACAAGGGTTGATGGCTCTCTAGCTGTTTCTTTTCTCTTCACCTGCCCAAATGTACATGCCCAGATGTGCTTTTCAGGATTCTCCCACAGGTGGACACAACACAGATATTCAGACCCTCCCACCAACACCTAGCTGTGTCCAGCCTTTCTTTGTGACTACTCATATATGGAATACTAAACAGAAAGAGGTGGTTGCCTGATGTATAAATTGGATGTGATTAATTGTAAGCTTATTTTTTTTTTCAGTCCAAAACTATACTAAAAAGGTACATCTGGAAGTTAGAAATGTAGTTAGAGGAGAAGAAAAATGTTTAAGTAGAGACTGGGCTTATGCACCAAACTAAAGGTAACATGCTGTACTTATTTTCTCATTTCAGAGCTTTATCAAAAGTTCAAAAACCTTATATTTTTCCTCTTCTTTGGCTAAATGAGGTTAGTATATTCTCTATCTGTTAATCTTCACTGTTTAAAAAAACAAACAAATGAAGCAAAAAAATGACCTAGCTTTTCCAGTCTTGATGCCCTGAAATTGAGCAATTAAACTCATGCTGTGATTTGCAGACGCCAATAATATATTCAGCAAGTGCGGGCTTGCATACTTATCTTTCACTGATATTTTTCTTGCACTGTTTCAGTCTGCTGTTATCGGGGATGAGAAAGCAGAAATGTTCAGAAATAAAGTCACCGGTCGGGTCCAGATGTTGAATATGCTGCAGATGGTGTTAATGATTGCAGGTTCCGTGCTGTTCATCGCATTCATGGGTTCCTACTTCATATGCAGATCAAAGAAATTAAAATAAGTAAGTAAGCACCTTAATCAAGGCTGAGGCTCAGTCCTCAGCAGTAGCTTTTTCTCAGGGTTTCAAGAAGTTCAGAATCATCACCTATTCCTGTTTTTTAAGTGCTAGCAAATTCAGCAGTTTTTCTGTCCAGATAATTTAGCTATTGTTTTCAAATTCTCTTCCCAGCTTTAATCTTTCAGGATGCTCTTAACATACTGAGGAGAGGGTATTGAGAACTATATCAGGAGACCAACATCTTTTTTTTTATTCCAAAGCAAAACATGGGGTTTTTTTGTGAGTTTATGAAAATAGCATTTATCCAAGACTGTGAAACTGTTCAGCAGTGCCCTCTAGTACTTCTCTGGGACAGAGGCCACACAGCTGCAGATTCTTGTGCTCTTCCAGGACAAACCCCTGTCTGGGATTCAGAAGACTCACTGTAAATGACACTTTTAACTGAGTGTTGGATAGGGTTTCTCAATTCTTTCTCTCATTTGTGCATCACTGTCACGTTAGCCTAAACATCTCCTGAATGCATAGCCCACTAAGACAGAATGTATTCCCTTTACGGGTAGAATAACTAAGTGGTTGATTAATGCACTGACTGATTAATGGAAACAAACACATTTTGGGAGTAATTTGGAAAAAGTTCCAAGACATTAATGGTATGGTGAAAAGTATGCTGTAGTAAAGAGAACCTTTTTAAAATGAAGATTTATCTCATCACATGCTGAATTCTGATTTTATTTCACTACAGGTAATAAAAGACTTCAGAAGTAGTCAGTGTTTAATAGAAATTTCAGCCAAGCAGCATGTTAAAATTCAGAGACAGAAGGTATGATTCAAGACACAGCCAGTCCTACATGGTATGGAATTCAACATGTTTTTCCATTTTGAGAAGACCAACTCATTAACACAAATGAGCTGATGTTTCCAAAGGTCCACACTTCTGATATCACTAAAAAGGTCACCATGGAAACTACGCTTTCAAATAACTTTGGTTATTTGAACCTTGTTACACATTTTAAATGACATTCAAGCAGACTGAAGTTGAGGTTCATTCGGATTTTAGTCCACCTTTTGCCATTTATGCAACTTGCTACTTTTTTTCTTCTGGGATTGCAAGACAAATGAAAGCTGTTTGCTGATCTTCTGAGCACAGGCTGGGAATGACAACACCCTTGAGCTCATGCTGTGCTCTAGATGCTCTCATTGCAAAATTTCTTTCTGTTCCTTCAAGGAATGGAAGCTGCTGCAATAGAACTGCTCTCTGTCCTCTATTCAGGGATGTGAATTGCGTTGAATGTGAAGTTTATTATGTAAAGTTACTAACTGTAATACATGAAGTTAATAAAAGACTTACTAAAATATGTGGTTTATACATTTTATATGGACATGGCTCACAGGCATGCCACAGTCATTCATATGTTGATGGAGCTCCATCAACAACTCATCAACATCCACAGCTGTCTAGTAATCTGAACCACTCGCTGACTCCCGGCTTGCTCCACTGTTCTTTCTGTTATACATTTCTTTATGGGTCTTGCTTGAACACTCGCCTCTGCTCTACCCTAACCCACTTTGCCCAAGGCCTCCCTTAGAGAATGACCTTTAAGGTCAAGAGAAAATATTCCAGAATGCTCCAGACACATGAAGGACTGAGCTAATGATTTGGATCAAACACCAGAGGGTTCCATTTCCTTGCTACAGGAGAATATAAATAAAAACAGGTAGCCCCACTTCTTTCTGATAAACCATCTGCCACAAGGAAATTTGTGCAACCATTTGCTTAATGAGGTGCATCAGCCTGTAGACAGGTAGCAAACACTGCCATCTGCATAAATGGTTTACTTCTTCATTTAATCTGAATGCCATGTCTTAGAACTGGGAGTCAATGGGGCAGATACTGAGTATTGTGGGGTCCCTTCACATGGACTCAGAATGGGTACCTAAGTTCAGCACTTTCTAAGATTTGTTCTTGGATCTTTTGTTCCCTTAAATAAGAGCTGCACAGAAAAAGGAAAATTAAACATGGTCAGCCTCTCATAGCCTGGTGTTTGGAAATAGTGCAACAATGGGCTTTAAATCAAGAAGTTTTGTCTTGCTAGTAAAGGACAGTATCTTTGGCCAAGTACCTTTAGTAAGGTGTTTTCACCCTTCAGAAATGAAGGGGAAAACCCAACAGAATACAATGCTGTTTTAACCTCATATTCCTTGTAGACAAAGTTGTGCAGCAATCAATAGAGCTGATGAGTCACAGAAATCCCAAGAGATTTTTCTTGAAGGCAATGTATGTGGTACATGCCTACACTCTCTTTTTCCGCTGTAAGCTAGAAATGCAAACAGGGCAGGAGATGTGAAGGCGGCATGACACTCAGCGGAAGTTCAGCTCTCCCTTAGAAAGCCCATGCATTTGCTTGCTCATAGTGCTTGCTAGTCAATGAAAAATGAGACCTGTCTCTCATGTCTACATTATTGCTGGTGTCCTGTGATGCTTTGTTCCCATATTAGTCTGGGGACAGTTTGACACAACTGAAAGCATCCCTACAGTCCCATGGACTGATCAAAAAAGTATGAGGACAACTAAAGACAGTCACCTTCTCCTCTGAAACGAGCACAGTTCTGCTGTGGTTCAAGATCTGAAACTAAGTTTTTATAATAGAACTAGTCTTTTGTGCCAGAATCTAACAGTGGGGTGTTTCCATGAAAGGAGCAACAGCAATGCTCCTGTTGTTATTGATACACTAGCATTTCAGCTTCGTTTTCTTTGGCTTCAAGTCTGTTGTCAGCAAGTCACTGTTTGCTCTACTTGTGTTATCTAGTGCTATGCGATGCTCCAGCAGCAGTGATCAAGGAAGTCAGGCCATTATTTTGAATGTCTTAGGGCCCAATTTTGCATGCACATGGAGTTTGTTCATATGTGTAATCTCATTGATCTCAATGCAGGTTTAGACTTTTAAACTATGTTCAGCACCTAGACTACACTTGAATTATAGTTAGTAGTTATTTTGTCCAAAACATCAGTTACAGTTATTGTTAATTCATGTTATTAAGGTTAATGTTAAGTATTTACATTTGTTCAAACAGTGCAGGGTAAACATTTATTAGAAATGTTAATGAACTCAATACAAACAAAATAAAGCTCAAACTCTTCTTTCTGAGATCCTTAAGTCTAACTGTAAATAAAACCTTCTGTGTTGAATAACAAAGTCCCTGTGTTTCTTTTCTTGGTATTTTGGGTGTGTTTTCTTTTCCTAGGGATTGATTTTATGAATTGTTGAATAAACAAGCTTATGGCTAACCTTGTTATGTCATTGTACTCTGGTATATCACAGCTGCTTAGAAGTGCATATCACCTTTTGTGTTGCCGCATACTATTTTATAAATACCAGTCACATATAACATTTATGTTCTAGATTACTGTCCTGGCTTTGTCTGGGATAGAGTTAATTTTCTTCTTAGTAGCTGGTGCAGTGCTGTGTTTTGATTTCAGTCTGAGAATAAGGCTGGTAATACACAGATGGTTTAGTTGTTGCTCAGTAGTGCTTACTTTGATCAAGGACTTTTCAGTCTCATGCTCTACAAGTGAGGAGGGGCACAAGAAGCTGGGAGGGAACAGAGACAGGACACCTGACCCGAACTGGCCAAAGGGGTATTCCATACCACAGCACATCATGCCCAGTACATAAACTGGGGGAGTTGGCTGGGAGGGGCTGGTCACTGCTCAGGGTCAGTAGACTGTGAGCCACTGTACTGTATATCGCTTGTCTTTCTTGGGTTTCATTACTTTCTCTCTATCTCTTTTTCCATTATCATTATTGTAATATTTTACTTGATTTCAGTTATTAAACTGTTCTTATTTCAACCCACAGGTTTTACCCTTTTTCAGTTCTACTCCTCTTCCCATTGGGGAGGGAGGGTGTGAGCTGCATGGTACTTAGTTGCTGGCTGGGGTTAAACCACAACAATTAGAACAAGGAGGAGACCATGTGGGCTGAGTTGAGCACCAGCGTGTCCAAACTGAAGCAATTCTAAAACAAGCCAAGGAAACCAAGCTCAGAGAGAGACCTGCTTTCAACTCCCTTGAGCTGAGGAGGTGGTGGCAGCCAGTGTTTAGCACATCCATCAGCACATTACAACATCCTTTACTTGCTCTGCTGGCTCAGCGGGTTGGGCAGGAGGCCAGCCTGGCTACACTCACACCTCATGTTCCCCACCCTCCCCAGGTATTGTGGGTGAAAATCACTGGTGAAAATCAGATCTGACCCAAGATCTAATAGCCCACATACTTACACCCCAGAGCAGGTGTGCCAGCTCCTCATCTCTAACTAATTGTGCTTTCAAATTCTTTCTTAACACCTGTGCAAACCAGTGTCTGTTAAAGTAATGTAAACATGCTACTATACCCTGAAAAAGAAAGAAAATGGATGTTTTCCCTTTTCTTCCAACTGTGAGACTAGGCAAAGACTTGTTTTATTCATGGGTGCACACATCAACAGTACTTTAAAAATTAATAAATTTTATAACTAAT